CCCCCCCCCCCCCCCCCCCCCCCCCCCCCCAAGCAAAGTGGACTCACTCTCACACTTTTATTTAAACATTTCCTGGAGCCAGCCCACATGTCAACCTTAGTTTCGTTATTGTAGTCACAGTGGGAAATTAATCGGAGTTTAGCTCGCCTGTGTTGCATACAGCCTCTATTTCAGAGAAGTGCAGCGAAATGTAGTGCAAGTTATTAAAACTATTATATGATTTTCTCAAAAGGGAGACGTGGGAGGTAATGAGGCGGTTTAGAAGGACTCTGGGAGAAGGCCTGACCGACCCACATATCCCACAGATCAGCGTGTTGGGGGGAGACATTGGCTTCGAATAGGGATTAAGGCTGATAATTTTATGTACATTGGCAGATCTTCCTGTCATGTGACCTCCTCAGACAGATCATTTCACCTCCATCTCTCTGTACTCAGAAACCATGCACGAGGATGCCATATCAGTCCTCTCCTTACATGCCTTCTTCATTCCTTCTAATTTATGAACTGTTATAGCCCTTGATCACTGTGTCAAGTAGAGATTATAGGTTTTACTGTGTCACCGGTGCATTCCTCAACCTGCAGTTAATTCTGGGTGTGAAGCTTGGCTGTCACTTCGGCCACATTGGTGAGTTTTTTTTTTTTTTTTCCCCCACACTCACATTTAATTCTCCAGCTGAAATCTCTGGAACAGATGCACAATATCTGTGCCTTCAAGCCACAATGAATCTTTCCCAAACTCTGACATGCTGTGAGTCATTGGACATCTTTTGTTTGCATGCGTGTTTTGCCTTCTTGTTTTGTTTGTGTTGTTGGGTTCTGTTTTTGTGTTTTGTTTCAGTAAGCCCTCCCCTGTGGCTATAGATGGGAGACAATGTGCAGAGAGCTCTCGGCTTTGTCTTCCTGTACAGCCTGTTCCCAATTAGCCAGACAATGCACTAACGTGGCTTTCGGCTCCATCCACCAAAGCCATGGAGCAATGTTTTTTTTTTACATGGGAAAAATCTTTAGTGGGTTTAATCTCTCAGTTTTGCCCCGAGACGGGAGCTATGACAGACTGACAATCTGTCAACTTCTGCATGTACCCCCCGCCCTCTCCCCCATCTGTTCCTCATATGCACCATGTCCCCCCCCCCCGCAAACTCACCTGCCTGTGTGCATTTTGATGGTCCTGTGTATGTCCTCAGAATGCATGTCCTCGTGACTTGGGCATTTCGCCGGTATAAATCAGCAAGTTACTCGATGTTAAAATCCACCTTTGGAGAAATACAGCTCTGCAAAAAATTAACAGACCGCAGTAAAATGTTCAGTTTCACTCATTTCTCAATTTATGGATATGCACCTGTGAAAAAAGTACATTTCTTTTTTTTCTTTTTTTTCGCAAACTGCAGCCTGGCTCTTCCCTGCTTCTCATTGTTGAAGGGCTTCTTCCTTGCTGTATGGGTCTTCAGTCCTGCTTCTTGGAGTCTGTTCTGAATTGTCCTAGCAGTGCACTTCACACCACTTAATGTTTCCCATTCTTTTTCAAGGTCACTTGAGGTCATTCTCCGATTTATGAGGCACTGCAAGATAAGTTAATGGTCTCTCTGGCATTCGAAAGCTGCTTCTACCCTCTACCTGGCTGGTTTTTGGTCATTGCCTTTGTCTCCTGCTTCACCTTCTTCTTGTGTACTGCTGTCTTAGAAACTTTGAGCCTGGAAGCAGCCTGCCTCACAGTGTAGCCTTCTGAACCAGGATTAAACCAGGATTAAACCAGGATTTAAAAATGCAGATTTTTTAAAAATATAGAGTGGTCTGTATATTTTTCCCAGAGCTATATACTGTCAAAAAACAGCATTTTTAAGTCTGGTAACTGTTGCCCTGTTGCATTAAACATCGAATTTGTAAACTTGTGTATGTCCATTTCACAGTATTCAGAATTCAGAGTGCATAATCATAAATGGGAAAAATGATTTCACTTCTCATTCATATTTTATATATTTTTCCCTGTCTATGTACACATATTCATTGTGAGATACGGAGTTAGCCTGTAAAGGAGAGATTTGTTCTAAAAATACTACTAAATTTATCAATAATGACCTTATCTGTAAACACAAAAGTATATGGCAAATAGCTGGCTGGAATTCTGTATTTGATTTTAGTGATGAATTATATCACTACTTCACAATATATTAATCAATTGAATCTTTAATCAGTTTCTCATATTATACAGAATGAAGTGTCTATTTATATTGTAATTATTTTAACAGATATTGATAACTTTCAGGCCTGTGTTATATATAATGCGTAAGATTGCATTTATCAACATCTGAGGTGTTCTGTAGTATGTCTGGTCTGTATTATCTTTGCTCGTTCATTGATCAGAGAGTAGGATACAACTTTCTGTTTATTACACTTCTGACTTGATTAGAAAGTTTAGGGAGTACTCAGCCACATTACCATTTTGTCAGCACATTATCCATTTAATGTGCTGAGCTGCTCATTTGAAGCTCCAACCAGAATCCCACATGTTCCCATTTGTAAAGAATGTGATACTTTAGTGACTGTCAATAGACTTAGGAATTGTTGCTAAGAGACTGAGCAGGTTGTTGTAAGAATGATTATAATGTTGTCTTGATTGATAATCCGTGAACAGCCATAATGTTACACCATCCAATCTTCCGGAACAACAGCTAGCCAAGTCAAGGTTTCATGCCTGACAGCCATGTGGTTATAAAAGCACTGATAATGACCTCACAATTCAATGACACTTTGATTCCTTATTTATTGGCCAAATCCTCTGGGGGGTTATGAGACCGAGACACTCTCGCAAAGTGTGGCGAATCTTTGGTTTTCGTTATTCCTGGGAAATCTACAGGCTTCTCCATACAGCAGATTCTCAACCTGCATAAAGCTTGTGCTTACAGCCGCTTTCCAGTTCATACACAAGACATCCTTAATTAAAAAATTGTACGATGCGGCTTTATAATTTAGCCATATTGCCCCCTCGATATTTTAACGATCTTGCGGTGTTGTAAATTGAAGGTGAGGTAATGAGTTTCCATGAGCCTCATGTTGTGCAGAGCATGCAGGGTTTGTTGTTGCTGTCACAGGGGTGCTGTTGTTTGGCATTTGTGCAAAATCCGTCGCCTTGTTCCGTTCTAGCCTCCCAAGGCTCCCGAGCTCTGCAATGTTTCCCTTCCCTCGGCGTTTTGAACAAACCGTGAGGAATGTATGAGGGCAGCTAGGAAGCTAGCATGCTAACATGCTCGTCATCGTCTCTGGGCCTTTTGCGTCTCAAACTGTGTGCCTTAGATGCTCTCTGTGAAGCTAAAAACCCACAATTTGGGGAAGATTTGATGCCTTTATCCGTTTTGCATAGAAAAACTTTGTCAACTTTTTTTTTAGCTCTTCAGTTAAACATAGCGAAAGATGAGGTTTTTAGTCCTATGTTGAAATGCGTTTGTGTCGTTCTCTGTAATGACTTAAAACCTACTTGTGATTGATTGATTGTTCGGTTGGTTTGTGACATATTTGAAATGGTTTCTGTGACATTTAGTTCTTAGATTATTTCCCATTGATCACCAATTAACAGCATTAACCAGGTTTTTGCCAAGTAATTTTGTTTTCAGGGCCATTTTTTATTTTTTTTTTGTGTTGCCTCGGGCACCTGATAGCGTCTCATCACTGAGAGACTGCCCAAACACATTAGAAGCTGAATCATTGCTTGATTTTAACAAAATGTGACGCCCGATGCATGCGATTCCCATAACGGCTACTTTAACGGTGCTGCTTGCACTATCTGAGGCTTTACAGTGCCGGAAAAGATGTATCTTCTGTAAAATATAGCTAGATTCTCTCTCTCCCTCCCTCTCTCCCCCCCCCTCTTTCTCTCTCTCTCTCTCTGCAGGGGTTCGGCGGTCACCAGAACCAGAGAAGTCCAACCACAGTGTCCACTATACCCTTCTAATTGCATGCGTATTGGTGGCCTTCGTTCTGGGTGCGTTTCTGTCCGGCTTCCTGGTGTCCTGTTACTGCAACCACAACGTCCACAAGACCAAGCGGCTCGACAAGGACCCCGAGGCCCCCATCCCTCATGCCCTCTCCCTGCGGAGCCTGGCCCGGCTCAGCGGCCTACTGGACAACCCAAGCAAGGAAGAAAAGCTGGAGGTGTCCTCGCCCAAGCTGTATAAGTCTTTGATTCCCAATGGAAAGGAGCATCCTCCTGGCAGGGCCGGACGCCACATGGTGGCAGGGGAGCTGAGCCATTCGCTTCACCACCACAGCTCGGAGCTCTCTGGCTTGCCAACCCCTGATTCGACGCCCGAACTGCCCATCAGGAGCATGAAAGCTTTAAAGAATCAGTGGGAGAAGAACCAGAACTGTAACAACGGCAAGGACGCCAAGCCGCACAACGTGAGCAGCTCCCGGCCAAACTCGGTGCTCCGTCCACAGGTTTTTCCTTTCTCACATGGGCTGGCCAATGGGCAGGGCCTGGGATGCGCTCTTCACTTGGACGACCGCAAGATCCCGAACGCCGAGCGGGTAATGACCCAGCCGTACGCCAGCTTCACCCAGAAGGTGGTAGACGTCACATCACTGGATGAGCTCCTGAAGCACATTCACGAAGTCGGAGGCAAGAACATAACAGTTCTGACGACCTCCTTGCCACCCAATGGGAACCAGATGGCCTTCACTAACCGAGTACAGCCGCACGTCCCTGAGACAGAGTCCGCCCCATACTACAGCTCGACGACGTTGCCCAGGGACAGTCTGACGCGTCGCATGGACGTCCCCCCAGATATGCCACCACATCAGTCTACCCTCGAGAGGGCGCCCCACCATATCATCCAGAGGCATTCCCTGAACTCGACCTCCAAGATGTCGAACGGCGGAGTGGTCCCGCGCCAACACAGCTTCAATCACCGTGGCAACCACCAGCCAACTCCGTTGCTGGCCCGGATGCATTCCGCCGGCAGCGCCTGTGAGGTGCACCATCCCATTATCCCCAGCACCTACCTGACGCGCCAGCACAGCTACAGCGAGCACCCCGAGATGCACCGGAGCGTGGTCGTCCGCCGAAGCTCCTCGCTCAAGCCAGACGTCCCCCCTAAACCCCTCTTCATCCCAGCCACGTCCCCTGTCAATCTGCAGGGCAAATTCAACTACTGAAGGGGGAGACGCAATCAGGAAGAGGACGTTCCTTCCCTAAAAGCCTCCCAAAAACTGAAGATGAGGTGAAAAGGGGGAAAATGGGCTTTTTATCTTGTCAAATCTGCATCAAACTCGTTTTGCTACACATCCAATGAATGTCTTTGTACCATATTGGTATTACCTTATAAAACGCAACTTGCTTATAGAAATGTGATGGACTAGGAGAATGTTTACCAGAGGCTGCCATGATTAGAGTAGATCTGTCTCCCGTTGATGTTCGACAGTGCATCCGATACTGATGAAAACGTGAGCGTCAAAAACAATACGACTCAGAGCCTATGGTCACATAAACACAGTGTGAAACTGACGGACAAATACTCCAGTGTTCCTCTGATGTGAGTTTCTACACCTGATTGATTCTCTTTATATCATGTACATATATGCATGTGTGTGTATGTGTGTGTGTTCATCTACACAGTACATGTATACGTATGCATATATAATGTTTCTCCCTGGAACATCTGGATGAACTTCAAGGCAGCTGCTCTGTTGCCTTATTATGTCAGCAAAAGCATATCATGGAAATAGCTTCACCACTGGCTTTCAGTACCTCCAGATAGGACTTTCCTAAATGAGCCTGAATTATAACCTGTAATCTATGCTGTGGTACCAGGCCAAATGCATTGGAGAGTAATATCGGGTGCTTTCATTCTCCTGCCACATGTTAACCCTCGAATGTGAGACTGTCTGAAGTATCACTGCGAGGGGGAGTTCAGGTTGCTATGCTACGTTAGCACCAACCACACGGAAGCCGCGACCTGCTCTCCAGGTCCACAGCGAAGGGAGAAGGTTTTTCCAAAGCTGCTTCTACTACATTGTGAATATTGCTAAAAGCTGCCCTCCCCCTTGTGATGGAAACACAAATATTACCCAATGAACACTCAACTGAAAAATATTATCACATGGAATTTAAAGCAACGGTATATATATATATTTTTTTTTTCTTTTCCTGAAAGAGGACCCTAGATACTGGACTCAAATGCAGAACCTGTCTGGGGAAGGACTAGTCATTCATTTTAATGTAGTAATGACCAATGTTAAAATTAACTTTGTGGTTGTTGTTGTAAATAAATGCATAACGACTAGCCAATTTTTTATTTTATGTGTAAATGTGTGCCTTATTTAATATTTTGTGTGCTTGGGGTTTTAATAGGAGAAGAGGAGACTGTATTAAAGGTTTTCTTTGTTATTAAAATGTGTCATGGTCATTGTAAATTTGTGCCTGTAACACCTACTGAAAGGACCGGGTGGCACTGAATCTGTTACTCATGATAAAGTCATTTTCATCGTGAGGCTTCAAGTTTTGTTTTGCCATTGTACATTCATGTTGTGTGTAATGCTTCTGGATCTTCTACTGTCTAAATATCTTTGGAAGATCCAAAGACACAGAGCAAAACATGAACAGCTACTTCAGCTGCTTCATGTTGATCTCTACACTTGTGTCGGCATTTCTTGCTCATACATATAGGCATAAAGACATCTTTAAATGTCCGGTTTCACATCAGTTGCAACGATAATGCGCATAGCTCAAAATGCATTTTCCTACAGTAAGTGTGCAATGAGCACGATAGGTGTGACGTGTGCTCACTTCAGCATTACTACTGACTGGGATGAGTGTCGATTCTGTCCATCACAGAGGGCTATTTACTCACCAGGTTCGTGGTGGTGATCGTGCTCACTATTCTGATGCCACGTCCTGGTTAAAAAAATTAATTTAAAAAAATCTGGGTAATCTTGTCCCTGCATTCGCTGGTAACAGCCAAGCAAATGTGTCATAAATACTTTTCATCAGCTGCTCACGTCAAGGTTTCCTGTCTGCGCCTGAATCAGTCTCCGATTTGCAGCTATATAGTTGGATTCTGAGCCTTTTTCTTCTTCCTCTTCATTGACCCGTAAACCCAGAATGCAAATGATGGGACTTGCAGTACTAATGCAGCGCTTTCTTTACATAAACCTGCGTTTCAAGATGATAAACTCCTATTTATGCTAAAGATGAATAACATGAGTGCACAATGGAACCAGTCTGGGCAGAAAAATGTATGGTGTCATCAAGTTCAGTGTAATTATCCACGGAGATTATATGTGAAAGGGAACGGTCTGTCTGCTGTAAGTAATTTTGCTTTGGAAATTCTTATAATTGCACAGTGTAAATAAAGCCCCAAGTTTGTTTTTCATTGGTTTGGTTTTTTTTTTTCCTTCCTGCACTATGCCTCTGGAGACCTTTTAAACTGACCTTTTAAATACTGTATGTCTCTGACAAATAATTTAATAAAACGTTTGCCTCCTTCCCCAATATTCATCATGCAAACGTCTTTCCCTGGAGTCTCCGTTTTGCTGTTTTCGTTCCTGCTGTCCATAAATCCTGCACTCAGAGTCGTGCTGCATCCTTCAACTCCAGCAACTCTGGCCGCGGAGGAGCTGTAACATGTCTGCGGTTCAAAGACACACTCCAGCCACCATCCCCGCGGAGATGCTGCAGACCGCTGGAAAACACAGTTATGAAACCCTAATATCTCTCGTACCAGAGTAGTGAGGATGTTCTGGATTTCCATAAACATTGTGGAAAGATCTGCAAAAATCAAAGCTTGAGATAGTTCTTCTCCCCTGCTCTTGTGGAGTTTGCATGTCCTCCTGGTCTGTGTTGGTTTCCTCCCATGGTCAAACATACTGGTGAGTGAATTGCCCTGTGTAAATTGTCACTAGTGTGAATGTGTGCCACTGTACACTGGGTATCTTCTGCTTAAGGTCTCCCAATCTAGATTTTATGGTCCAAAAACTGGTACAGAATGACTTTCTTTTGAAAAGTTTTTGTTGTTTTTTTTGTTACATTACTCTGTATCCAGCTTTTTTGCACCATTTATTTGCACATATCATTGACTGCATATTTGATCCGTGTCTGTAATCATCTTCTGTTTCCATGAACAGGTTGATCATGACTGCCGGCTTTGGAAGCAGCAGCACTTGCAGAAATCAGCTTAATGTACAATCTCATAGATGGTGAGTGGGAGGAAAAGACGGAAACCCAGCGCTCTGCTCACACTTCAGAGTTTTGGTTTCCCAGATGATTCAACATCCACAGCAGAATCAACCAAGCATTTTAAGTAGACTTGAGTTTGCAAAGTAACATAATCGACTGGTCATATTAAATGATGCAGTTTTAGGTTCGGAAAAAATCGCTAACTGTCTCTGCCTCCTGATGCATCCTGTGTCCAACAACTCAGTTTTATTAAGTTGTGAAGGCATAGGCCTTTGAGGGGCAGGACTGGAAAAACGATCTCCATCATCATGCTCAGTTTATGGTCCGTGTCTGTCGTCTTAGGGATTTCTGACACGCGTCAGGATCGTACAGCAAACGAATTAATAACAGGGCATAAGATAGCACAGCACAGTGCAAAAGGATACTTTTTATTAAATGTTGCTGCTCCAGTTCCAAGTAGGAATTCAGATACAGTGCTCTTGAATTTGTAAACTGTTTTTGTCAGCTTGTGTAGAGCCAGGGGGATACTGCATGTAGGACTCTGTTTTGCTGCTTGATTGGCTTATCTCTCCATTGCTTTTAACAGTCATTGCAATTACCCAACGGATGCGGAATGCACATTGTGGTATTTGCTCATTTTAAAGTATAAATATATGCTGTGTGGCTTCATATGGACACTGGTGCCATGGGTTATTAGATCCAGACCTCTGATTCGAAAAGAAAGTTCCTCTCCGTCAAACGCAGAGCGGCCTGAGAAAGACAGGTGAAAATTGAAGTCAATAGAAACTCTGGAGATCAAAGTGTACTGAATTGCACAGCAGATGGATTCCCCCTCCCAGTCACACATGCCCGTAGACTGTAGGATTATTTTCTTTGCTGGACAGCAGCAGCTGGTAAAAGCGCTGTCCAGAGATGCCGCTGGCCCGTGAGTGACGGTAGCCCGTGATCGCTTGCTGGGCACTTTAAGGGAGGCGTTGCTATTTATGGATTGGCGCTGGCCAATTTCAAATGAGAATCCGTCTGGTGTGTTTAAGATTACTTTTATTCATGCAAATGGACTTCAGAAGCCTTTACTGCGAATAAGGAATGCAAATGATTTCTGCATTCAAACACACATTAATTTCACCCCATTTTTTGGATTCCTGAGGCCTTTTTGTGCCGTTAGGGCCGAAAAGCATTTCTGCTCGTAGTCATCAATTTTGAAGTTGCAGTGCGGGAAAGTGCAAAACAGGATTGATAGAAGGTCTTTTGTTTCCATGCGGGTACCTTTGAAGTCTCTTGGAAATGTCTGGGACTGACTGCAATAAAAAGACATTTAATTATCACTTACACATATACATGCCTAGTCCAAATGTTGTTTTTTTCTCCGGACAAATCCTAAGAAAAATATCTTCATGCAGCTATTTTTTCCCATTATGCTATATTTATTTCAAAATTAAAGCAGCAATTAATGATAGCTTTGTACAGAACAGATGCTTTTGGGTTTTTTTTTCTTGTTACACAATCTGACTGAACAACCATTTCCCTGAATTAAATGCAAAAAGCACCTGGCCACATGCTGTCTCTGTCACGGACGTGAACAGCGCCTGGAGTGTACCCAATCCTATTTTCCTACACTTGTCGGGGTACTTAAGGCCCATCCAACCGAATTTCGTGCGTGTTACACAAAGTACAACTTGATTGGCCACCATTTCCTAAGGAGAAATCAATGCCTTTAAGTCTGAAGTAGGCACACAATGTCCCCTGGTGTGGTTTGCTGAAGGACAAGCAGGCCACAGAACAGAATTCATTCAGGGGCTTCTTTTTTGAAGCATAACCAGCATTCCTCTCCATGATTAAGTGAAACAGATGATTTTCCAAGAAGACTGAAGAAGAGATGAAAACTGACTTAACAAAGTTTTCAGACAGGTAGATATCAGAGACAAATCTGAGAAGCTAATATATGATCATTGTGTTCACACAGGAAAATATAGGCCTGATCAAATGTTGTCAAGTCATAATGTACAAAAAACGTGTCCTATTTATAAGTACTGGAAACGGACTGCGCTGGATTCTGTACTTATAATGCTGTTTAATTGACATTGTTTGGAAATCACCCAGGCCATCCTCAACTGGCCTATTTTTGTCTCTCCGATCTTGTCCTCATACGTCCTCTTTCCCACCCATCTGATGTTGTCAATCACCTTGGCATGTTTTTTTTTCCCAGAGTCTCTCCTGGCTTTTTGTCGAGAACGTGGGTCCTTCTTGTCCATCAGTGTTGCCCCCCCGTGGCCTTTTAGAGAGGCTTCTGTTTAGCGTTGGTTAGTGAGGACCGCTATGTGCCGGAATAGATACGTTCCTGTGATGGTGGTATGTATCCAGAGGCTAGAGACGCGCCTCTCCTGCGTTTCCATGCCCCTCCCACCTGAACGTCGCTGAGGAGAATCTGTGCCGCAGACGAGACCGGGAGGCAACCGCGCGATAATCTGTCATTCCCGCTGAAATCAAAAACAGCCCAGTAATGCCTCTGGTCTCCCTCCACCCGCCGCATACACGCTCACAGGCACTAGTGTTTGTGTTTATGATGAGACACGAGCGGAGTCAGCCCGGGTGGCTGTCCGTGCACACTATTCCACTTATCTTCCCTTCGCAACCGGAGATGGAAATTACTGATGCTTCGCTGGCCGATTATGTCCAGCATCGGAGAGCTCTTCAGTGGAACATAATTAGTACCTAAGGGCTTCTGCCCCTAGGGCTGTCAGGCCGGTCCGTACCTTCTTAAGCTGCATCCCACGCCTAGAGCTGTCAGGCCAGTCCGTACCTTTTTAAGCTGCATTCCACGTCCGTCACGGGCATGAAAAGCCAGATTCAGAGAGGCTGCATCTTTAAGCAGGTGACACCTTGTTACAATGCATTATGAAATAACTTGACAGGATGTGATGTTATTACATACACCGTGTAACAATGCATTATGTAATAACTTGACAAAATGTTACAAATTTATAGATGACATTATAATTTTATATTGCAACATTACCCTATTATTATCATCATCATCCTCGTTATCGTCATTCAATTTCTTACATTCTGTTGAGTTATTACATAATCCGGCGTTATTATATACTGTAATGCGTTGTCACCCACCTATAGCTGAGAAAATAATGTAGCGTTTTTATAGCTAGCAGACCCCAAAACCTTGTGATCCCAGCTTCCACTTCTATTACGATGATAATACCAGAAAGTTGCCGACAATCAGCAACAAGCCCAGAAGTAACTTTTAATAAGCTTCCGACTTGCCACTAGGAACCTGAAAGGAGGACTGTCTGGCTTCAAAGGATGTTGTTTAGCGCGTTTTGTATGGATTCCTGAAGGCGTACATTGCAGTGAGTTTGCACTTTTATAGTGGAGAAAGTCAATAACATAAAATATAGGATGCTGGGGAACTGAGAAGTGTAATTCAGCTTAACTTATTCAATCGGTGATATAGGCATAAATGTCCAAATGGCCATTTTGTTGGATCATTTCCCTAAAAACAAGCCAACTCATTACCAATTTAATGTCGGTCAGACAGTGTTGAAATTTAAAAACCTTTTCTAAAATCATTTCAGAATTTGCAGTGAAGGCCATCTAATATACCACTAGTCTATCATGTTTAGCTGATCAGTACCTCATTGATTTATTTAACTAATTAAGCTAATTAATGACTTGAGCAGGTAGTGAATTGTAAGGAATACATGGAATAGCTGAGGTGTCCCTGAGGAGAGGTTTGGGAACTGAAGCGGTGTTCATCTAGCCATCCAGTGAGATATCAGTAACTTTTTGGAGAAGGGAAGAAATTTTTGTTAGTTTTTTTATTGTGTTACTGTTTATTTACACGTTGATATATGCAATTGGTATAAGATAGGGGAGCATATGCTACCCAAATGAACAGATGCAAATAACAGAAGAGTGTAAACAAAGTGTGATGGTGGTTAAGGGAGATGAGTGTCTCTCGATTGAGACTCAAAATTCAAATCCTGTCATAGGTGGAGTGATGTCACAATTAAGCCGTTGAGCAAAGTCCTTAACCCCAAGGATGCTGGCTGACCTCACTGCCTGGTCCGCATTTCTGTGTTATTTTGGACAAAAATATCTGCTAAATGTAATCTGTTTCCGGAAGGTTGGTCGTGCATCTCCCAGGAGATCTGCTGTCTTACAGTTAAATAAGGTAACTGGTCT